CAGGGTGTGAGGAGTGCTCTTTGTACAGGGTGTGATGGAGTGCTCTTGTTTCTCTTTCCAGCTGTCGTCAGGCACTAGGTCCTTTATCTCCAGCAGGGCCACCTTTGCCACCCTTTCCCAGGCCATGTGCACCAATGGCATGCTGGCTCTATTCGGGATCTCTGAAGTGCCCAATGTTGATGAATCCCAGCCCTCCACTCAGGGCAACCTGAAGAGAGAGCAGCTCATCGACAAATTCAACATTCCACGCAATGCCAGTAAGAGGCTATTAGCAAAGTCACAACACATGATAGCAAAGAAGAACAATCACACATAACCTTTTTTCAATCCACTTGGGTTCCTTTGTCAGGCTTCAGTGGATCGACTGAATCTGCTGGTGTCCTCAAGCTCTTAGCTAGGTTGAGTGGGGTTTTAATATCTCCTCTTCTTCATGTTGTCAGCCTGGAGATGTAATTCTAGATTGGTTAAATTAAAACACAGACATACTGAATTGGAATACTACTAATAATAGATTCATAGGATTTTATAGAACATCAGTCATGGGCCCATTTGACATGGTATGTTACAGACAGCAACAATTAGAAAGCTCTCAGCAGATGTACAATGAGGGCAATCCAGAAACACTCGCAGTACTTGCCTATATCACCTACTCAGCTTTACAAATCAACCATACCACAGGTACATGGTATAACCCTGATTTATTGTCTCAGTTCATGCATCTCTAATTGTTGCCTGTAATTTTCATTGAACATTCACTTAACAAATGACTTTTGAGGAAACAAAGAGATTGGTGTACTCTTGCGACCTTGAAGGAAACCCATGTCACTTCTGTAATTGGTGTCAGTAGACCAGTAGGTGGTGCTCTTCTCTCTGGGTGAGGCTTTCCAAACCAGTGAAGCTCGTGGCCGGGGACACTTTTGTAGGCGCAGATGAGTAAGCAAACCACTTGTTGATTCGGACTGTGCTGTGTCTGCCAACACCACCCCACTCCAAGCTGTGCTGTCTGACAAAGTTTGGCTAGTCTGTGAGCTGTATTTGTATGTAAACTCTCGGTGAGAATGGATCATGTTACTAATCATGCTATCAGTAAACAGCACAAACTCATCAACCTGCATCAGGGGATGTTATTATTAGTGAAAGTGTTTTCCATCTTTAAACTTCCTGTTCTGCAGAGGTTTGTGGCACTTCTTGCCCGGTCAGGGAGAATAAGGAGTAACCTCCCCTTCTCTTCCTCCTCTCCCCAGCCCCCTTCTGTATGGGCTTGTACCTCGACATGGTGAACACCACAGGGGGCGCTGTGGCCTGGGCCTTCCTGAAGCCCATGCTGCTGGGGAAGATCCTGTACACCCCTGACACCCCGGAGACAGCCGCCATCATGAAGAAGGTACAGTACGCTTCCAATAGCGATGGCCGCATAGACACACAACGAGCGACAGATACATGTATAGGCACAGGGGCGCAGCTGCATACGCCATTTAAAACATCAGCGATGGGCAGTTCTGATACACCTCTGCTCTATACCAGATACCAGGAGCTGTGTTAGAACACAAGAAATGAGTGTTTGAGATGTGATGAGCATGATAAAGCACCATTTTCTAACTGAATGTACTGTGCACCGTCACTTTTCAGTCTAACGCCACGTTACAGCAGTTCGCTGATCTGAAGGTGTACGCTGAAGAGTGGATAAAATCATCATCCTATGTTCAGGACGCTGTACAAGTGCTGGAGAAAACCCTTCCGATTCTTCAGGTAGGAAATCAAGGACACTCTGATATGCTTTGTTTAACAGAAGGAAAACTGATGCTTACTCATTTTTATACATGTGATGCTCTGAAATACGTGCAGCACCACCAATCACACTGAACGCTGGCAGCTCTGATAAGGATTGTTTTCTCCACAGAATTCCCTCAACAACACTTTTGTGCAGAATTTCATTCGCTTACAGGCCAATATTGATGTCAATGAGATGAAACAGACTCTCCAGGGGTTGTGTGAGTAGACCGTGTAATTCAAATTTCTTCTTCATTTGCTATTGCTTAATTTTTCTTTATGGGAAATAATGTCTGAGATCACCGCAGGGAACAAAAAAAAAAGACTTGGATCCCCTCAAGAAAATGTACAAAATGGCAAATATTCATGTTATGTTATGGCTTTTCCTTTCAGTCTCTTTAGTGTCAGTCTGTGATATAACCCTCAACCCTGCTGACCTCGTCCTCCAGGGCAAGGGGCACTTCTCCTCATATTGGAAGCAACTGTTAAACGCTCAACGGTGCAGATCTAGCAGAATGCCAAGCAAGCAGGGAATTGAGCAATTTTTACCATGGTTCTGGCAGTCTCAGTCAGCTGGCGCAATGGCCCGAGAAGGTTTGAAAGGGGATGTGCATGCTCACTTCCTTCCCTTGCTGTTCCCAGCCAACGTGTCTGCCCAGCTGCAGAAGAACAGCAACGTGCTGAAGCAGATGACCACTCTCTCGCAGCTGATGCTCAACCTCTCCTCCTGTGTCAGCTTCGACCGCTTCCAGGCCCTCAACTCCACCGCCGAGCTGAACAGCCTGGCCCTTGACCTCACCCAGACACGCGACCACTATGCCAGTGAGCACTCCATCGGCATGCCGTACAAATCCTGCAGATAGCCACCAGCAGGGAAACGAGACAGTATCTATCCATCTGCCAATTCTGTGGTTCAACTGAACCTGTGCTGCACTTCACCTTAACCATGTTATCTACTGGAAAACCTCAATGCAGAAAAGACATAAATGGCCGTACCTCTCAGCACCTAATTGCTGAGCAGAGAATCCACAAATCTTTGAGCTCCCAGCTGTAAAGTTAGATGAAGAAGCGATGAAGTGTCTGGCTTAAATACGCTTTGAGACAGACAGCTTGGAAAGAAAGAAACAAAAAAGGCACCATTTATGTTCAAAGAGTGATATGATCCTGCCGGAGTCATGTTGATGAGCTGACCCAAGCAGCACTGGGCAGGATAAGGTTGTAGGTTAGTTGGCCAGAGCTCCCTAGGTCCTTACTGGCTTTCAGTGCAACCAGTGTTGGATGTGCCTTGACTCCCATTGGCGAAGAATCTCCTTTTGTTGTGACTGTGCCTGTAGCACGTGACAAGATGATTGACTTGATAGGTGGGCAGGTCAAAGGAGGTCTCTGCACCTCCTTCTTCGTCCTTATGTGTGTACAGGGGTCACCACTGTGAACTGAGACATAGAGACACAGCCTCCAATTGCAAGGTGTTTGTACAGTAGTAGATTAGCAAACTTTGGGTTACCTTGACGCTTGCATGGAAAAGGGGTGCTTTTTTAACAGTTAGAATTTATCGAAATCAAAGTGTATTGTGTTTCAAATACTTTTCCAAACTTACTTTCTGGTCATTTGATGATATTGAAACGTGCAGAGAATATGCTTACGAGATAAGTTTGGTAGCATTTTGTTGCCCGGTGAAGGAGAATAAGGAGTTATTACTCTCCCCAGCCCCCTTCTGTGTGGGCTTCTACCTTGTCATGGTGAGCAGCCCAGGGGGCGCTGTGGCCTGGGCCTGTAACTGCAAAAGAGTGAAAGAAGATTCACATGATCTGGGCGAGGATGAAAGCCCGCCACCCTGTCAGATGTTCTGCTAACACACCGAGCCAGTGTGCGTGTGCTGATCAAACTCTGCCCACGATCTAGGCGTCGTCTTCAAGCTCCAGAAGAATCCTGGGCGGCGGAAGCGCTCGTTGGACACTGGCCTGCCCTTGCCCCCGCTGGTGGCCTACACCATCCGCATGAGCATCGAGAACACCATGAGGACAGACCGCACGCGCGACCTCCTGTGGGCGCGCGACTCCTACATCTCTCCCACCAGGAACCAGCGCCACACCCGCGGCTTTGTCTACCTGCAGGAGAGCATCGACCGCGCCATCATGGAGCTGCAGACCGGCAGGAGCGTGGAGGAGCCCGCGGTGCAACTGCAGCCATTCCCCTACCCCTGTTACAACAAGGACGAGTAAGACTTCCTTTCCAGGGACGAGGACTCCTTCATATTTGCTTTTACAAGTGAACCCTGATGTCTAATGTTGGGTGGGAGAGGTGTTATTGGGGCCAGTAGAGGGTGCTCTTCCTTCAGTCTCAGTGGGCCCTAATGCCCAAGTATAGTAATGGGGACACTATATTGTAAAAAAGCACCATCCTTTGGATGAGACATTAAACCAGGGTCCTCTCAGTGGACGTTAAAAATTCCTAGGACGTTTCTCGAAGAAGTTCCTCCTGGCCTATACCAATCAGGGCCTCCTAATAATCTCCATCTCTTAATTGGCTTCATCACTCTGTCCTCCTCCCCACTGAGAGCTGATGTGTGGTGAGCGTACTGGCGCACTCTGGCTGCCGTCGCATCGTCCAGGTGGGGCTGCACACTGGTGGTGGTGGAGGGGATCCCCATTACCTGTAAAACGCTTTAAGTGGAGTGTCCAGAGAAGCGCTATAGAAGTGTAAGGAATTATTATGATTAATGTTTCATGGCGGAGTTCAGATGTGACAGTTTTCAGTTGTGCCTGATGTTTAGCCGAGGTTTGCATCACATCTTGCTGACTTCCGCCCGCTAAAAGACGTCTCTCCTCCTCTGCAGCTACCTCCAAAGCATCTCGTACGCTTTCCCGCTCGTCCTCATGATCGCCTGGGTGCTCTTCGTCGCCAACTTCGTTAAGAAGCTCGTCCACGAGCGGGAGCTGCGGCTCCACGAGGTGGGACTTGCCCGTCGTTGGTTATCTGAGACCCCCAGTTACCACTGCAGGCCCACTAGAAACTCCCGGCTCATCCTAATGCTGGGGTGGGGCAGGGCCCTCTTGCACAGGGCATGAGTGATGATGAACGCAGTTGCACGAGGAAGGGGCTGCCTGTACCTGCGCTCCTGCCCTGGAACTGACCTGCTGGAAAAGTCCAAGCTGGACACACTGTCATGTACAGTATGTGGTATAACGGAAGCTGCTGGCAGCTGCAGTCAATTACGATCTGTCTACATTTAATTGTGAAGGGGCCGCCTGTGATGCATCTGTTCTCATGGCTTAAACTGTTAGCATGCTATTACTTTGGCACAATTATTATAAATTGTGCCTGCCAGGATTAGAGGAATTAATAAAGCTTTCCCAGGTGTTGAAACATGCACAGAAATTGGACTTCAGAAACAATGTCTGCATAAACAATGTATGAATAAAATAGTATGTTTTAACTGGAAAGTTACTCTGAAAATCCCCGAACACGGAATTGATCCCAGCTCTTCCTTTGCGCAGTACATGAAGATGATGGGGGTGAACCCTGCCAGCCACTTCTTCGCCTGGTTCCTGGAGGGTGCAGCCTTCCTTCTGATCACCATCATCTTCCTCACCATCATCCTCAAGGCTGGTGGAATCCTACCCAGCAGTGACGGCTTCATCCTCTTCCTGTACCTGTGTGACTATGGCCTGTCCATCCTGGCCATCAGCTTCCTGGTCAGCTCGTTCTTCGACCAGACCAACATTGCTGGGCTGAGCGGCAGCCTCATCTATGTCATCTTCTTCTTCCCTTTCATCGTGGTGATGTCCTTAGAGCAGAACCTCAGCTTCTCCACCAAGACCCTGCTGGTGAGTCCAGGTTTAGCTTCCTTACTTCAGTGGTCAAGCTTCCTGCTTTTATAATGGCACAACACCGCAGAGACCTTCAGCTGCTTTTCCCCATTTACTGTACCAACACATGACATAAAGGCTGGAGATTTAATCAGATCAATTCTAGAAGAAGACCTGACAGCCTTCCCTTGAGATCAGAAGTGGATTTTATTTTATAAAGTTTGTATTAAATGTGTTTTAGGGTTAGTGCTCAGACATGTGAAGCTCACCCCAATCCTTCCCTTTTCAGTGTGTTGTAGCTTGTCAAACTTCAGAACATTCAGCCTCACGGCCTTTTCTGGAACTGGAGCTGTTAGGTGCAGTTCTGCACTTCCAATAACCATGTAGTTACATTTCATGACTTCAAGGCAAAGGCTCTCTTTGAGAAAAGGATTTGACTATATACAGCAAATGGCTAAAATAAGAGCTGCTGAACACGGCCTATTGGCTCATCTGATTATTTTATCCCGCAGGGCCTGTTTTCACCAACCTGCTTCAGCTACGCCAGTCAATACATTGCTCGCTATGAGGAGCAAGGAGTAGGTAGGTACCATTTTTGTAATGTTTTACTGCAAGCTGCATGCAGGGATGATAAGCACCAGTAATGTATCATCAGCGAGTCAGAGGGCCCACTACGAACAAAGAGCTGCTTCTGCAGTCCCTGGCATGCCAGTGGGGGGTGTTGTGAATACTGCTGGTTTCTGCAAGCAGTCACAGTCCGCTGCATCCAGGCCCTCATTGCCAGACTCTTGTTTTTCCTCTTTTAGGGCTCCAGTGGAATAACTCTTACACCTCCCCTCTGTCGGGGGACACATCGTCCTTCGGCTGGATGTGCTGGCTGCTGTTGATCGACTCCCTGCTGTACTTCATCATGGGCTGGTACATCCGTATCGTCTTTCCAGGTATACACACGTCTCTGGGACACTCCTTCTGTGGAATTCTCACCACACCTTCACCATCTCTTTAGTTTCTTGGAGTTGTAGTGATCAAATTTTAGTTTTTCTGAATAGAGGACACGAAAGACGTATTTTGAATTTGCATGTTTTTCTTCAGAACTTGGCTCTGGTGTAAGTGCTTACCCAAGTATCTGTGTTTGAAACTGTCTGCCCTACGATGAACGGGTGTCCCATCCGGGGTGTATCCTGCCTAGCACCCGCTGCTTGCCGAGATAGGCTCTGGCTCTCCCATGACTCTGAATTGGAGACAGTGATTGGACATTTGTCAAATAGCATAGGAAATATCCTTCAGCTTGGATGGTTCGGAAGCATGTTTTTTGTGTGACAACCCTAGTGCAGTATAGAGATGCTAGTAAGAGTTTATTACTTAGAGTCATCGTAAAATTTAGGCTTTTTATGAATTTTGTTTGATGAAATATGAAATTGTGTTCTTTATTTGAACATGCACATCATAGACCAGAATATGGGATGCCTTTGTTTACTTTAACTTATGCTTGAGAAAGCAGGATATAGCAGAAAAGCACACAGCGCTCTCTGCCTGCTGCGTGTCAGGTTTTCTGAACTGCTGTGGGAATGGTGTGAAATATCCATCGCCTACAGTACTGTTGTATAAAACAGCCTCTCATTTGACTCCCAGTACAGCAGCTTTGGGAGGCCCACTAGTCCATGTAATGATCATCTTTCTCCTCTGCCAGGCAAATACGGCATCGCGGCCCCCTGGTATTTTCCAGTGCTGCCGTCCTTCTGGGCAGATCGCTGTGGGTGCGGGGGGCGCTCTCCCACGCAGGGGCGTGGCCTGTTTTTCGCCAACGTCATGCGGCAGAACCAGGGCATTTTCCCCAAGGACAAAGGTACTGCTGGTGCTGTACCCGTTCGCCCTGGCAGGCCCAGTCCTCAGAGACACCCCCGACGTTTCTGTTTGTCTGGAATGCTTTCACTTCCTGTGGATCTTCAGGATGCCTATTACTTCATTTCCCAATTATTCACTACCTAAATGTAGACAGGTGCAGGGTTTTGCATGCAGGTAGCAATCGCATCAACTATAAATACAAACAATATACAATGTAATGTACAATATATAAAAAGGCTACTTATGAAAAATATAAAAGTCTTTATGTTGACTCCTGATTCACAACTTTTAGACAATGTGGGGAAGCAATATAAACTGTAAACCTTTTTTATATATATATACATAAAAATATTGAATTTAAATGCAGCATTACGTGTATAAAGCATTAGAAAGGTGTTATTTAGAATATTGCATACAATTCCCGTCACCTTGCTGCAGCAAGATATTGCTACTGTGGAATGAGTCCAGACAAGAACAGACAGACACACTCCAAGGCTTAATGCCATGCCCTACACTGACAGTCTGCAGTGTGTGTGAAACCAAGAACAGTAGGCATTTCTGCACCAAAGGGAGTGTGGAAAACTACCCAGCCCAGCTGTAGAAGCCCATACCCTGACTTTTTTCAGGGAACAGCTGGATGAGATTCTTGGTTAAATTATGTACTAACTACTGTATTAGCTTAATGGCCTCTTCTCATACAGTAT